TTAGGGCTGGTTGTTACAACAGGGCAGACCCGAGGCTGCCTGCCGGGCTGTGGGCAATTACCCCTGCGTCCCCCAGTCCCACCCAGAGGAGAGTTAGCAACAACCTGGGCAGCGTCTGGCAGCTGGCTTTGACCCTACTTCCAGGTACTCCACCTGCAACGACCTCCCTCACTCGTTCTCATGAACAGGAAAGGAAGTCGAAGGCCGTTTATCGATTGGTTGATTGTACGATTTGGTCAACCTGTGCGCTGCTGCTTCCCTTGGCTTTCCCCTCAACATGTGTTCATCAGCCCGTGAGGTCTTCATACTTCCTCTTACAGAAAACTGTGCTTCCGTCAGCACCTCATCCTCAGTGCGAGAACAGTCCAGAACTGTGAAAGCGTCCCTTATTATTATTATTTTTTTTTTGCAATTTATGATATTTATTTATTTTTTTAAATTTTATATTTTTAAAAAATTTACATCCAAATTAGTTAGCATGTAGGGCAACAATGATTTCAGGAGTCGATTCCTTAGTGCCCCTGGCCCATTTAGCCCATCCCCGCCTCCCACAACCCCTCCAGCAATCCTCTGTTTGTTCTCCGTATTTATGAGTCTCTTCTGTTTTGTCCCCCTCCCTGCTTTCATATTATTTGTGTTTCCCTTCCTTGATGTTCATCTGTTTTGTCTCTTAAAGTCCTCATATGAGTGAAGTCATATATTTGTCTTTCTCTGACTAATTTCCCTTAGCATAATACCCTCCAGTTCCATCCACGTAGTTGCAAATGGCAAGATTTCATTCTCTTTGATTGCCAAGTAATACTCCCTTGTATAGATATACCACATCTTTATCCATTCATCCATCGATGGACATTTGGGCTCTTTCCATACTTTGGCTGTTGTTGATCGTGCTGCTATAAACATGGGGGTGCGTGTGTCCCTTCGAAACAGCACACCTGTATGCCATAGGGTCTCTCATTTCACCCTACTTTCAAATAAAGAAGGTGACACAATTTCAGGGATACTGGCAGAAGACATGAGACTTCTGGGCCAGAGATATAAAGGACTTCATTACAGCACAGCACGTGTTATGAACACGAGAATACTTGTCACTTCCCCTTACCCTCAGGTCTCACCAGTGCAGGTCTCATCCATCATATGGATGCCCACACACAGGGCCAGTTGTGTCACAGTAGAAGAACCCTGAGCTTGGGCCGCCCAGGGATTTCATAACGGGCAGTAAGTATGTCCGCCCTTTGCTCTAGAGGGAGCCGCTATCTCTGTTGTCCAAGGCTGTTGACTATACAAACATCCTGGGAAAGACAGTTCAGAATAAAGGTAGTGTCTCTGCTCACGAAACCTGCATTCGTGTGAGAGGCTGGGCGACAACTGTCTCCTACCACCTCTCTCCTCACATCTCACCAAATCCCCACGGACACCCTGCCAAGGAGGTGTAACTGACCCAGTTTCACAGATGAGGAGCTGGAAGTCCAGACAAGCGAAGGGAATTACTGCTGGTGGCAGAGGCAGTAAGCGGCGGATCCAGGACCAAAGCCAGGCCCACCTGATGCCCGACCTGTGCCTTGTCTACCCTCCTGCACAACTGGAGGCAGGGACGGGCTCTGAGGAGAGAGAGGTGATGAGAATCCCCTTGAGTAATGGGAGAGCGGGCTCGCAGGGAGAGTGGGAAGAGAGGAAGTGGGCCGGGAGCCAAATTCATAGGAACTTGGAGACCATAGGCGAGACTTTGGATTTTTGTCTAGGTATGATGGGGAGATGCCGGAGGATTTTGAGCAAAAGAGCGATATGACTTGATTTGTGTCTTTTTGTTAATGTTTGTTTACTTTTGAGAGGGAGAGGAAGACAAAGTGGGAGCAGGGGAGGGGCAGAGAGGGAGGGAGACACAGAATCCGAAGCAGGCTCCAAGCTCGGAGCTGTCAGCACAGAGCCCGACGTGGGGCTTGAACTCACCAAGTGTGAGATCATGACCTGAGCCAAAGTCGGACGCTTAACCGCCTGAGCCACCCAGGTGCACCCTGATATAGGTCTTAAAAGCATTATTGTTGGGGCGCTTGGGTGGCTCAGTCAGTTGAGCATCCAACTTCGGTTCAGGTCACGATCTTATGGTTTGTGGGCTCAATTCCCACGTCAGGCTCTGTGCTGACAGCTCCGAGCCTGGAGCCTGCTTCAGATTCTGTGTCTCTCTCTTTCTCTGCCCCTCCCCCCACTCATGCTCCCTCTGTGTCTCAAAAATGAATAAATGTTATAAAAAATTTTCAAAGCATTATTGTTTCCTGTTCTGTAGAATGGGGATAACAGTAGTACCTTCCGGATAAGGCTGTCATGAGGAGTAAACTAAAGGGAGGGAACGGGAGGATGAATGTCAGGATCTTAGTTGGCTCCAGGAAGAATAAGCTGTTGAGGGGATCCTGGCCATGCTGATGAGGTGAGTTTAGGATGGGGCTGGGAGCTGAAGCGGTATGGACCTGGAGGGTCTGTGCATACAGGTTAGAGTTCGAGAGTTCCACCAGTCAGCTTGGCTGAACTGACTTCGGGTCAGCCTGCGAGTCAAGAGCACTAATGCCCAGAAGCCTGCTGGTAAATGGAGAGAGTGAAGAGGGGCACAGAGCTCTCCAAGTAAGCAGGAGGCAGCAAGGGTCAGAAAATGGCAGTTCCGGGGAGTCTATGTAGAAAGAAGATGGGGCCAAAAGGAGGGCACTCGATCTCCAGGTAAGATTGCAGAAGCATGTGCTGTGTAGCCAAAGAAGGAAGTTGCCGATTAGATGATGGGGGTCTAAATCCTAGCTCCTTCTCCTCTGCCCTGGGGTACAGCCTTAAGGCACTTCGGGCTGCACCTCTGGGGACCACTGCCTGCCCCGTCTGGCTTCTCTAAATCTAATAAAGGAGAGAATGTATAAAGAAAAAGAACACAGAAGAGAGGGAAAAATCAAGACCAATGTTCAGGGAGCACTAGTACTTTTAACAGAGACCTACCTAAAAAAGAATATTACAGTCATAACTATTAGGTCCCTCAGCCTCACCATCCAGCGGGAACCTCTCCGCAGCAGCTGGACCAGCTCTGGTGCCTGCCCAGCACAGCACTTCTCAGTCAGCCAGCGTTTTGAGGGCTTACACTTTTTTTAATGTTTATTTTTTTTTTATTTTTTTTCCAACGTTTTTTTTATTTATTTTTGGGACAGAGAGAGACAGAGCATGAACTAGGGAGGGGCAGAGAGAGAGGGAGACACAGAATCGGAAACAGGCTCCAGGCTCCGAGCCATCAGCCCAGAGCCTGACGCGGGGCTCGAACTCACGGACCGCGAGATCGTGACCTGGCTGAAGTCGGACGCTTAACCGACTGCGCCACCCAGGCGCCCCA